ATTTAATGAGGATGGGAGGAGCTTATAGGGTGCCTGAAGGGGAGGGGCCTTTAAAGGGGCGTGGCTTATGTAGAAGGGAGGTGCTTCCCATAGGGTGGGGAGGGATGTGGTTCGTTAGAAAGGGGTGTGGCTCGTTATGAGTTGGCGTGGTTAATGAAAAGGGGCGGGGCCTCATCAGCATTACTGGAGGAATGCGGGGGTGGAGGTTTGGGGGGTGTGGTCATTTGGGGGAGTGTCCACGTACCTTGGCCCCGCCCTCCTTGTCACCGTCCTCAGCCTTGGGCCCCTTCTCTGGGCCCTCCTCCTCTTCATCTGGCCCCGCCCCCGCTGCAGGCTCCGCCCCTGGCTCCGCCCCTTCGGCCTGTGGTGGGGGGGTGTGTGTGTCAAAGAGGACCCCAAAGGACGAAAGGGATCCCAAAGAACCCCAAAAACAGACCTCGAAAAACACTCCAGGAGGCAAAAAAGGACCCTAAAATAGCCCTAGGGGGCCTTAAAAGAGACGGTGGGCACCCCAAAAGACCCCAAGGTGACCCTAAAGAACCCCCTGAGAATAAAAGCAAACTTGAAAAATCCCCTCAGGGAACCCCAGAAAAGACCACAAGGACCAAAGGGACTCCAGCAGACACCAAATTTCCCCAGGGAACCCCAAAATTCCCCAGGGAACCCCCAAGCCCCCGACCTTGGTGCTGTCATCGCCATTGGGCCGCTCTGTGGGGCCTTTCCCAGGGGGCTCCGGTGGCCGCGGCTCCTCCTTTTTGGGGCCTTCGGCCTTTTCCGTCCGCTCCTCCTCCTCCTCCTGCTCCAGGATCCGCAGGTCGTGCTCCGTACCCCCTTCCATCTTAATCACCGCTGGAAAACACAGAAAACAGCAGGAACAAACACCAACAGCAGGGTTAAAAACACCCCAAAAACGGGTCAGAAATTCCTGAAAATAGGATTAGAAACTGAGAGGGGGAAGGATCCTTTCTTCCCCTCCATCTTAATCATTGTTGAAAATGGGGGGAAAACGTGAAAATTGAGGAAAAAAAAATCAAAACCGGGTGAAAAAAAAATCTCAAAAATTGGCTTTAAAGGACCGAAAGACAGGTAACAACCGCATGAGAATAGGTTAAACATACCTGAAATTGGAATAAAAAATCTGGAATTGTATCAGAGCACTCCGAAATGGGTGTCCCCTCATGACCTCCCTCCACATCATTCGCTCACATTTCCTGCCTTTTTCCCTCCTCACACTTTCCTGCTTTTTTCTCCCCTCACTTTCCTTTTTCCCCCTCACATAATCCTGCCTTTTTCTCCCCTCACATTCTCCTCTTTTCCTCCCCTCACACTTTCCCGCCTTTTTTCCCCCTCACAGTTTCCTGCCTTTTTCTCGCCTCACACTCTCCTGCCTTTTTCTCCCCTCACACTCTTTCCCCCCCCTCACTTTCTGACCTCCTCCTGTCACTTTCTGGCCTTTTTCTCCTGTCACTTTCTGGCCTTTTTCTCCTGTCACTTTCCTGTCTCTTTCTCCTGTCACTTTCCTGCCTTTTTCTACTCTCACTTTCCTTTTTCCCCCCCTCACACTCTCCTGCCCTTTTTTCCCCTCACACTGTCCTGCCTTTTTCCCCCCCTCACACTCTCCTGCCTTTTTCTCCCCTCGCACTCTTTTTTCCCCCTCTCTTTCCTACCTTCCTCTCCTCTCACTTTGCTGCCTTTTTCTCCTCTCACTTTCCTTTTTCCCCCCTCACACTGTCCTGCCTTTCTCTCCCCCAACACTCTTTTCCCCCCCTCACTTTCCTACTCTCTTCTCCTGTCCCTTCCCTGCCTTTTGCTCCCCTTACATTCTCCTTTTTTCCCCCTCACACTTCCCTGCCTTTTTCTCCCCTTACATTCTCCTTTTTTCCCCCTCACACTTCCCTGCCTTTTTCTCCCCTTACATTCTCCTTTTTTCCCCCTCACACTTCCCTGCCTTTTTCTCCCCTCCTTCCCGCCCTTTTCTCCCCTCACACCTTCCCGCCTTTTTTTCCCCTCACACCTTCCCGCCTTTTTCTCCCCTCACACTCTCCTGCTCTTTCCTCCCCTCAGTGCTTCTGTTTTCAGTAACTCTGGTTACATGGACTGAAAACCTCCAAAAATATGTAAAAAACTCAGGGAAACAAGTTAAGAACACCCAAAAACGGGTCAGGAAACACAGAAATGGGGAAGAAACACACAAGAATTGGTCGGAAACCCCGAAGACAACCCTGAAGAACAGGTCAGAAATGTTTCTGGGGGACCAGGAACACTTTAAGGGATTTTTCTGGAGTGCCAGGGAGGGATTGCCGGGATGTCAGGGATATTTTTGGAACATCAGGAAGGAACTTTGGGGTGGCCTCTGTGGCTGTAAGCAGTGATTCGGAGTGTCGGGGGGTAATTCCCTTGGTATTTCCAGGCTGCCACCACCAGCGGGTGCCTCCGAGGGCTCTGAGAGGAGTTTTTGGGATACCAGGGATGCTTTTGGGGTACCTGCGTCGAGGGTTTTGATGATTTGGGGGGCGCGGTCGATGTCCAGGAGCAGGTTGTCGAACCAGCCGTGCTCCCAGAGGTAGAGGAAGACCCCGAGGCGGTTCCTGAGGGCGGCCTGGGCCTCCTGCTGCCGCTTCCCGGCCTCATCCGGGTGGTACTTGGAGCGGAACCTGGGAATCGGGGGAAAAACAGGGAGAAACGGGAAAAGCGGGGCTCAGGGGGCTGCTCACAACCCCCTGGGCCCGCAGGGTTATGGAGGGGCACCCCCGAATCGGGGATTTTGGGGAGGGGGAGCCCAGTTTGGAGTGTCTGGGAAGGGAAGGGAACCCTCGGTCTGACACAAGCGGGGATGGGGAAAATCCTGAATTGGGGAGGGGGACTCCGGGTCTTGGGGATTTGGGGGAGACCCCAAATTTACGGGGGAACCCCGAGTCTGGTATAAATGGAGGGTGGGGACCCCCAGTGACCCCAAAACTGGGGGAGATCGGAGCCCCCTCAGAGGGGCTTTAGGTTTTGGGGGATTTCTGCTGCTCTAAGGTGAGCTCAGGGTCTTTTGGGGGGATTTTTGGGGCAGTTTCTATGCTGCTTTGGGTGATATTTCAAAGGTGTTTTCAGAGGTGCTTTGAGGCGTTTTCAGGAATTTTTGGAGGGTTTTTCAGCTCTCGGGAATGTTTCAGGTGTGGTTTTTCTATGGTTTCAAGACTTTTGGCACGTTTTTGGCACGTTCTGGGCTGGTTTTGAGGCTCTCCTGAGAGCATTTTTGGGGCTGCTTTGACACATTTGCAGGGATGTTTTTAGAAACGTTTCTTGCATTTTTGGGGGTGTTTTTCAACATCTGTGAAATACGTATTTGTGATTTTTAGAAGTTCTCAGATACACTTTGCGGTGATTTCACATTATTTTGAGAGTACTTTGGGCACCTTTTCAGAGCGTTTTTTTGGAAGCTTTTGGGGGTGTTTTGACACGTTTTTGGTGTGGTTTGGGGGGGACTTTCAGGAGCGTTTCTGTCTCTTTCTGGGGTGTTTGGAAGTGCTTTTTGAGGGCGTTTTCAGGGTTTCCTGGGTGGTTTTGGGGCGTTTCTGGGCATTCTGAGACGTTTTGGGGTGGTTCTGAGCTGTTTCTGGGGTCTTTGAGGGCGTTCCGAGGTGTTCCAGGTGGTGTCAGGTGTCCCGTGGGGTTTTGGGGGGGGGTCCATACCTACACTCGCCGCGAGCGTCGCCGTCCGCCGGGCCCCGAAAACTGCGGCGATTTTAAAACCCCGGCCCCGAAATCGGCCGCTTTTTTTGGCACAAACCCCCCCAAAAATAAAACAACAAAGGTCCCTGGCTGCGTCCTGCACTGTGACCTCGCCGCATTGTGCGCGGCCCCGCCCTCT